CTTGAGTAAAATCTGAGATATCTCGATGAAACTTGGTGGAAACTTACGTTGTTATTTCCCAAATAAACTGCATTTTGATACTCTTGCAACCAGTTACCACAGAGTATTATAGTTTTGTTCACCAAACGGCTGTACGTATCACTTTAAAACTAAGTGAGATAGATATAGGGTTATATATATAATTGATTAGGATGACGAGAAAAGTTGAAATCCCGTTGACTGTTCATCCGTCCGTCCGTGCAAACTGTAACTTCAGTAAAATCTGAGATATTTCGATGAAACTTGGTACACAGGTTCTTTAGTACAAAAAAATTTTGAGTTCGTAAATGGGCGTAATCGGACCACTGTAACGCCCACAAATCACCCTTAAAAGAGAACATATAAAGTGCCATAACTAAGCACTACATTAATTCTTGCATATGTATATCTCTGTAATTTGATACAGAGGATCCCAGCAGCAAGGGGCACCTGTGACGCGTGACTCCGACCTCTAACAACGGGATAAAAATTTGCACGAATAATGTCTTTAGTGTGCCACCTTATGACCAAAAATTGTTTAAATCCAATCAAAACTGTTTAAGCCCATAGGTACTGAATATTTAGACCCCGATTCGTATAGTTGACTTTCGATCGAAAAGGTCGGTCAATGGGTGATATACATATATAACTGAAATTAAAAGATAATCCTTTTCTCATAATAGTATGTCTGTATGTCAAAAATGGGTTCAAACGGATTAATACTTTTCTTAGCCCCACTACTTAATATAAAGATTTTCGATCTTCAGGGTGACTTTATACCGCACATATCGGCCAATATGTGAGTTATCTCAATGAAAATAAAAGAGCGTGTTTTATTCAATACAGTGTATCTTTGTGCCTTTCGAACATCCGGCTGACTTTACTATATACATATGTTTAGCTTTACACCTTAAAGTATTTCCCTGTTTTTGATTTTTGCAAGTTGCTAGAGTAAAAAATGTTCGGCTGCACCCGAACTTGGCTCTTCCTTACTTCTTTATTTAAAATATTTCGTCAATATAAGGACGTAATGTCGAAAAATCCTAATTTTCACTCAAAAAATTTGAAGTCAAAATATCAAATACTTTTTAAAGGTCTCAGCGGGTATATACTCCAATAAATATTTCTTTATTTTTTTAATTATTTTCATTTATACAGGAAACAACTTCAGTATGAATGGCATTTAAATCAACAATGGCTAGATCTGCAGCCGTATGTGTGCAATCATCTGCTTCAGAGAACACTGCAGGAACACGATGTTTAGCACCTTTGATAGTGTTTATAGATCGACGCGAGTTTTTAATGAACAATGTAACTTTAATTGATAGTTTAGCGTAACAAGAATTCTTTAAAACACTGTTTTTGTAGTTTTTGCATTTTTGATAAAGTTTTAAAACGTCATAACCGTCCAATACTATCTGCTGAGTTGCAGCGTAAACATCATTCATAATTCCCGCGGATGTTTCAACAGCAACAGCGCCACAAGCATTAATTTCATCATGTAAACTGTCCACAACGATCTGAACCTCAGGATCCTTAACTTCTACACACTTTGGACTCTCTTTGCGACGATCCTCAATATTCTGTACTACAGCGTCAACTTGGTTTGTGGGTTCTACAACGATTATTTTATATTGCGATTCCAAAGCGTTGGCAGTTTTAATAGTAATTTCTTGAGCTTCTTTTATAAAATCATCTACAATTCCTTCATAATTAACATTTGGTAATGAAACTTTGTTAGTACCAATCTAAAAAGGAAATTTTTATTTAGGGATTTCACATTCTAAATTTCAAGAAATGTTAAACAATTACCACATTCGCAAGGCAAATAAGTAATATTACTGTGAGGATTTTCATTATCTCAGTTAATATTAACTTACGAAGAATTAACGACTGTTGCATTTTAAATTTTACGTAGCTATTTTATAAGTCGAAGTTACCGATTGTTTAGATTGTAGAAAATTTACGATTACCATCATAAATCATATAGTCATTCAGACGTACATATGTATACCTTTTACAGCGGCATCGTTTCGCTACAAATTATTTCTAATGTTAGTGAAATTATATTATTTGTTTTAAACTTATAAATATTTTATGTACTCATTTATTTCATAATGCGAATATCCAACTGAACATACAACTTTGAAAACCAGTTTGATTAGAATTGGATCTATAGATTTAGTTATATACATACACATTTGCGGACCAATAACTTTTTATTTCTAAGATACGGCTTATTTACTAATATGTGACCTATTATACCATATATAATACAACATTTTTAACAGCGTATTTGCCCCACTGTTGATGTGGACAAGAATTAATTCGCTAATTTTAGATTAACCAACATAAAACAATTAATGATGGATTAGCTATTATAAAGTAACTTAATCTTTTCATTTTCCAGAATATTCCCAAAACCTTATAGTACATAAATACATACTTAAATGTAATATATACATATGTATACTATTGATAGATGATGGAATTGCTATTATAAAGTAACTTAATCTTTTTCCAGACTATTGTCAAAACTTTTTATTCCATATCTGCATATAATATATATTTACCATACAGTTTCATACATATGTATGTATGTGTGTAATTCAAATAATTTTTATCCATACGTATATTAACAATGATATTTTACCAGTATATTACCAAACGCACTATGTAAAGAATATATGCATCTATACTACTTGTTTAGCACACATAAATATGTACATGGGTACAATTAACTATGAATAACTTCAAACAACTTATTTGCCATTCTACCTATTCTAATTGTAACTAAATAACCAGTTTAATGTTTAGGTTATAAAAATGCTCAAAAATAATAGTAAATTAAGTGCTTACATCGTTACTTATTATCTACGCTGAGCAAACTATAAATGTATACGCATATGATCTAATGTGTTTATTTAATTTATATACTTTTAAACTATAGATATTAAGAATATTGTCAAATGAATTTGCATCTTCACACAGTAAATCATTGTCGCGCCTCGTGGGACAAAAAGTTCTGTTGAGGATAAAAGTCTTACACACATTTCACATTTCTAGGGGAATGCAGTAATTTGATACTATATGACATACTATTAATATTTTATTTGTGGTACTAAGAAACATGTGTAGCGTTTTACAATTTACAGCTTATGAAAAAATGTCAAAGGTACTATTTGTGATAAGTTCTGTGTTATCTTTTTTAATACTTAAGTTATATTTTGAAAACGCAAAGTCGGCTATCGTTAAATCACATTATCATTTCAACAATTATATTGCATTTGGGCCAAAAAAAAGAAATATGTGGAAGTCCCTCAAAACCTCTTATTTAATTCAATCATGACAGTCGTCCCCATATAACTAATATCAGGATTTTTGAGCATCCTGCTGACTTACTCTATACTATTGGTTTTATACCTTAAAGTATTTCCCTGGTTTTGATTCATGCAAGTTGCAAGAGTATAAAATGTTCGGTTGCACCCTTCTTTACTTGTTTGAGACTATTTTTCTATGTATTTCTATTAATAGACTTAAAAGTAGTTCATATATAAATAGTGCAATAAAGTAGTTATATATATAGTTTATGTATACATTTATTTGAAATAGTTAATTTACTATTTTTTCTACTTTCTACTCCACAAATCCTCTACTATAACCACTAAATAGCAGTAATGCCACAAAAAAGTTCGAATTGAGTTGTTTTCGATCAAGAAATATTTTGAAAATTCAATTGAAATCTAAACCAGAAAGGGTCATAAGTTTATCAATGGTCATTAATAAAAAACAATCTATCACCTACTGTGTTGATGTTGTAATTATCCGAAGGGCAGGAGTGTAAAACATTTGAAAATATCTAAGATTACCAAGTCTACTAAATTACATACAAAATATCCCAAGATTGCTTAAATATTTGTGATTTTATTATAATAATTTTAATGTCTCATATTTTAAAATCCTAGGGAGCTTATAATAGAGATAATGAGAATACACCAGTTAAAAAAAATTGTTGTTTATGTGTTTTGAATAAAAAAAATATCTTACACATTTCCAAAGCAAGCATTGAAATTTTTTTATAGTTGAACATCAGCTCCAATATTTAATGAATTATGTATTTACATAATATGGATATATAAAATTTCATATTGACAATACATAACACAGTTACGAAATGAAGACAGTACTTGCGGTATTAAGTATTACAATACATATAGGTAAAAACAAGTGTAATTTATGTTGGAAAAATATTTTCTAAACTATGAAGTAGTTTTTGTATGCAATAAACTGAAGTTGATGTTTGCATACAATGTCCACTTCGTAAAAATGCTTCAAATTGAGATTTAATTAGAACTCGAAGTTGTAAGAGCATTTTAGCGTCTTTGGTAGGTAATTCAAATTTTATCCAATGATCTAAAGACATTATAGCGCTTTGGTTATTGGCTGCTGTAGGTTCTGATAATGAAAGTGTTGTTACGCTTTTATTTAGTAATTCGTTTATTTTTGCATCTGAACTATCTTCTAAAAGCGATTCTTCGTTATCTGATATTTCAGAGTTGTCTGATATATCTTCATCCAGTAAACAATCTTTGCCACAGTGAAGAATAATTACTACTGGTGAAACTACAGTGTTCATGTTTAGGGAACAAGTTTTCCCAACACGTGTTTTTTCATAGAACACCACCCAATCGTATGGTAACTCATCAATGAATTCTTTAAAATTCTTCATACCAGGAGGGTTCAATGCGGACGTCCGTTGTAGAAGCAATCGTTTCTCGGCCCCCGATATTATAGTTTTATGTTCACGATCAATTACTGCCACATTAGGATAGAAGCCGGCAACCAAACAGCAACGAACAATATTCCAGTCATCATTGAATAGAGATGCTTCTTGGCCAACATGAAATTTTTGTGATGACAAGTCAGCTATTTGACGTCGCGTTGCGCAAAATGTTTCCATAGCAGAGTGTGACAGGAAGTATTTGCTACAGAACTCTCGAACACGTTTTTTATTGTTACGAACCGAGCAATAAGATTTATATAACAATAATATACCCAGCTGATCACTAAAAGTCTTTCCTGCAAAAGATTTACGCTGGAATGAAGCAGGACCTTGGGCTGCACGGTCTGTTGGTAAGATGAAAGGATCTTTTACAGAGTGATAAGCAACAATTGTCAATATAGAATCAAAACATTTTAAAAAAATTCCGTACATCAAACATTTGCCAAGCTGAACATCTAAGGGAATTTCAACTAGATGTCTGCCTAACTCCGTAACGTTTTCATCGCCATCAAACACTTCTAGTATTTGCAGTTTTTTAATAGCATTCTGTACACTTACGTTTGAGGGAGGGTTTAAAGAACGAGCTAAATATGATTGTACATCGCTTTGACGATCTAGCGTCTTTGCGTATAAGCAAATTTCGGTCAAGGGAATCCGCATAAATTCGGGAACACTAAACTTCGGCATATACTCATATGTTGCCGTAGAAAATAATCGATAACAAACACCATTTTGAGTCCGACCAGCACGTCCAGACCGTTGATTTGCGTCTGCTTTTGATATCCATACTGACTGAAGTTGAGACGATTCCGTTATTGAATCATGCGTTTTCATTTTAACTTTTCCCGAATCAATAATGTAGGCCAAATCTGGTATTGTTATTGACGTCTGCCCAATATTTGTAGATAGTATTATTTTTCGAACTGAATGTCTTTGCAGGGCTTCAATCTGATCGTTTGAATCCATCTGACCATGAAGAATACATATCCGAAATGTATTAACTGGAAGTGTACTTTGAATAAGATCTCTTTGTTGCACTATATCATTGTATCCTGGCAGAAATACCATGATAGCACCAGGGTGTGGACTACGATAAAGACCTTCTATTAGTGATAAAATCAGATCATGATCAACTTCATTCTCATCATTAAATTGCTTCTGATAGGCATATAAAATACGTTGCTGTTCGTGCAATTCTTCGCTTAATATCATTTGTTCTTTCTGAACGGTATCCAGACTTTGCAATATTTTCGTACAACTTTTATCCGAATGCATGTTCGCGTAATCGAGAGCAGTAAAGCCTTCGACATTAACTAGATGGGCATTAGCTTTATGATGCAGAAATAGTTTCAAATATTTTGGCAAATTACATTTACTAGCTGCCATAAGTGCGGTTGTTCCTATAACATATTCCAAAAATTATTATAGTTAAAAATAATTATATGAATTATTTTTTTACCTGTTCGTGAATGCATCGTATCTACTGGCATACCTTCACTTTCAATAAAATACTGAATTTGATCAAACAAAGCGAATAATTCCTCTTCGTATTGGTAGTTTTCAGCAAAGCACTGATCAATGAGGGTATCTAAACTGAGTTGTAAATGTGTATCATTTATATTTGATTGCATTCCATTTGATTTGCTCTCATCTTTGTCAGTGTTCGTATATATTTCCCTACACTTTGCTATGCCGATTTCGTTCATTGAGCGTAAATATTTGTCCATTAAAGCGGTTCGGTAGCCCGTTCTATAAAGAATGTCTTCAAGGTGGAAAATTTTTACATTATAACCCTGACCGGGTACATTTACCACTGGACAGTTTTCGAAGTATATTGATAATAAATTTATATCCATTGTAGCTGACATTAGAATAACTTTGAAATCTTTATTTTTTCGTAGTTGGTCCTTAATGGTTATAAGTATAAAATCAGTGTACTTATCTCGTTCGTGAATTTCATCAATTACTAAATGAGATATTTTTCGAAAGAAATCATTCGCATCAGTCATTATGGATCGTAGTAGACAACCACTTGTTGTGTAGATTAAATTTGTATTTTTCTGAACGCGACCTTAAAATTGATATTATGGCATTATTAAAGCGAAATCTTTTTTGACACTTATCCCTTACATACTTTCCAAACGTATTTGATAACCAACAGTATCTCCAATTTGTTCACCCCTTTCTTCTGCCACTCTATTGGCAACAGAAACTGCTGCTACTCGTCTCGGTTGTGTAACGACTACTCTACATGGACGACTTCTACGCGTACTATCGTTTAAAATATATTGTGGCACTTGGGTGGTTTTCCCCGAACCAGTTTCCCCACTAATAATAAAAACCTGAAATCTTATACATAATTAAAAGAAAGCTTAGTTTCCATTAATTTGATTTACTCACGTGACTTTCTTTCAAAATTTTATTTATCTCATCTTGATAAAAGTAAATTGGAAGTTCTCTTTTGTCCCGATAAAGCTCGGTAGATATGCGCTTTGGATGGGGTGGCACAAGACGTGGTCCCAATCCACCTAATAGGGCCTCGCTACGCAGTCGGTTCTTTTTTTGTAGACGTTGCCGACGTTCAAATGCGTTTCTCTCAGTTGAAGGGGTGTCATATAAATGTAATTTTTCCAATACCGATCGACTAGCAGACGACAATTCAACTTTATGTAAACACCCTGATGATTTTAGACGTTTACGGTGTGTAATATGTAATACGCGGTTATTTTTCGAGCCATAACTTCTTGACAATAGTCCAAGGCGAGCAATATATTTATGAGCATATTTCCTTTGGGCATTGGATAACCCTGGAATAATCAACTCAACTTCTGTACCGGCCATGAATTCTGATATGCGCTGTTGCAATTGTAACCGGTCGCCTTCAGGTAAATGTACTTCATTGTGTACGTTTTTTTCTTTATTATGGGATCTTGTCGTCATCATTTGTTTTGCAATGTTTTCATCTTCAGTCATTTTTACTTATTAATACTCTGAAATTTTCAACTTTTTAAAAACTTTATTCGGATCCTTTTTAGATGTATTTGCAGGACTTTCATCACCTCTTTACAACTGTTCTTGCATTAGTAAACTACCAATAATGAAATTTCACCACAATTGTAAGAGTGTTCACACAAAGAACATTTAGTTTCTCATGACTGGGTAATTTTTTGGTTTTAGATGGATTTAATGTTAGCAGGCCTTTAAATTATTTTAATGAACACAAATGTGGAACTAAAAAGAAGTGTTCCCATTAAATTCTTATGAGTATGAAATAGTATATTTGACAGCAAACAGTAAGTTGCATTATATTATTAAAATCACGCAAAATTTTCAAGAATTTTAATCGATTTCCATGACGACGGAATGTTTCCATACGTAATCGGAACGGACACTATATATTTATTCGGCCATGGACTCAACAAGGAACCAATTCTCTCTCTACAATAACAACAACGACGACGTCTTGAATTTTTATTGATTATCAAGTTGCTTACAGCCTACAAACATTCAAAATAATTTTTAAAAGTAATTTGTGTGGTCAACTTGATAGCAATTTCCTGTTGCTTAACTGCAGCGTAAGTGTTTCAAGGTTCTCACAGTTTGTTTCTAGATATTTGAAAAGTCGATAATTAGTTTATCTGTATTCGATTGATTAATCTCATATCTTAAAACATGCTTCATATAAGTTTTTTATTTTAAATTGCCTAAAATAGTAAAGTTATTGTCAAAATGAGCACTCAGCGTGGTAATGCAACAAGGACACGATCACAAAAGCATAAAAATCGAACAGTTTTTAAAAATGACCTGCACGACAAAACAAATCTACAAAAGAAAATAAATTCTTTGCACGTCTCCGAGGTTTGTCAACATTGCAAGGATGTCATAGAATGGAAAATTAAATATAAGAAGTATAAACCCCTTACTCAACCAAAAAAGTGTACTCGTTGTGAGCAGAAGAATATTATCAAAGCGTACCATGTGCTTTGTCGACACTGTGCTCTAGAAACACATGTATGCGCTAAATGTCTAAAAAGTGAAGAGCAAGTTGTCATAGAACCACCACAGCCAACAATGGAAGAACAAGTCAAATTGAAATTGGAAATGGAACGACTTATAAAATCTTTACCCGAACGGAAACGAAGGGCTTTCATTCGGTACATGGATAAGGGTAAAAAACATGAAGATTTAGAGGAGACGATTTCTGGTGTAGGAATTGAAAGTGACACGCAGCTTAGGAAACAATTGGATGATAAAATAATTTTACCGCATACTAGAGAAGAATTAATTCAAAAGATTGACTTTCTCAAGTTAAGTAATGAAGACGAATATATAATATCCGATGCGGACCCCGAAAGCGACGATGAAAGTCCCATTTAGTTCAAAATTGAATTATTTTTTTGAAACTGAATTGAAATAATATTTTAAGTGACTTATGTTATTTATACAGACCCTAAATATATTTAAAATATTTAATATTACTGTATATTACGCAATTAGATAATTACTAATAAATATATATTTTTAACACGGTACAGTTCTGACTTACACTTTGTAAAATTATTATTTCTGTAACTATATTAGAGAGCAATTTAAAAGATAAATTCTATGGAAAAAATCTTACCGCTGCTGACGCTCTATTGATTTAACCGATATTTGGCTTGAAAAACAGCGACTTTCTTTAACACATATTACCATATGCCAATCTAACTATCTGCCAAATGTTAAGCGACGCCGATAATAAAACTTCAAATTTTTTCCGCATCCTACGATTTTGATATTAAAATGAGGATGTACGGATTGAGAAGGTTCTCCAGATTAAGGAAAAAATAGATATTACAGTGTACGAAAAAATTATATGAGACAACCGTTTCTAGCAAACTTTTAGAAATACAAACTTTTTTTTCAAGATATACTGGACATTTTAGAATTCATGTAACACGTTATCCAGAAGTTCTCTGTATACTTTTCTGCAAACTGAAGTCTCGCCAACTTGTGTCTTTGCAAAAGTCTAGGTTTTGCACTTCAATTTTCATATCGAATGGTGTTACCTACTTTCAGGATTTGTTGTACACGTCGAATAGTCAGTGGAAGAGACAATTGACACCGAATTTGCAAGGGGTTGTCATATAGATCTGCATATAATCGCGTCAAACAATGAACTGTCCCATATACTTATTTCGCTATAGCTAATCCGAAATTTATCAAAAATTGCACACCAACATTATATACATGTAATATTTAGACTAACTGTTCCTACCGCTATGTTAAGAAGCCACTACAAAGGTATCCAGCAACAAAAGCTAATATAGTGGTAAAATAAACATATTTTTTTTTTTTTTTTTTTATAAAAGCTTACATAATAATACAATTATTATACAAACTTAAGAAAATACGCAGCACTAGCATCATGGGCTATCGGCCGCTAATAAACATATTATTATTATTGCATTGAAGAATTTTCCCATATACATACATATGTACATAATTATTTCACCCACTGTATGTATTTGAGATAATATCATTTAAAGTTCGAAAATTGTTAATGCTTGTTTGTTTGATTTTTTATCTGCTAACACTTCACTAATTCGGTTCTACACAGTTTTGTTAAGAATGGATCAAATCGGGCAAATACGTCCCCTAGCCCCCATACACTGAGTATAAAAATTTTCAAGCATACGGTTAACTTTATATAATCTTTTAGAAACTTTGCCTAGATCTTTTCTGGTACTAGTATTTCGTGATGCTGAAAATTTATAAAAGTAGGTCAATACTAAACCTAGATCCCATATACATATGTATGTATCTGATATAAGAATTTTATTGTATCGCCTACATCAGTCAAAATGTAACAAATCTTAGCAAAATTAAGTGAACATATTATATGGAAAATAATATAGTTTAATGCTATGGACACATAAATGGCAAATATTTTATATCTTATTTCTTGTGTGACAGTATCATACATGTTATTTTAAAAGGTTCATTCTTTGTCTTCAATGACAGTACAAAATGATTTTGCAATTCATTACTAAAAAATAAAAATAATCATCAAAATTCGAAAACTTTGGTATAATGTGCTGGACACATAAATGGCACAACCTAAAAAAATGTGGAGAATTTAGTTCATATTGCATTTTTTTAAAGTTTGTTCCATACAAACGTTTTTATTGTTAATATTTTGTGCTGTAACCTTTATTTTTAGTGACTGCTTCACATCTGCGACCCATACTTTCTACGACATTCTGGCACTATGCTTTAGGTTAAGCGTACCAAATTTTTTTTTAACGGCAGAGCAGAGATCGTTCATATTTTTATAATTAACCTTTGCAATTTCAGTCTTGACTTCATTCCATTGGATCCAATCCAGAATATCTATCCTCTCTGCAGAAAACCAATTTTGTTTGAGATCGCTCTCTTGCAAAAATTTCCATTTAATTGGCATAGACTCAAAAGCATGAGTGTACTTAGGATAACATGCTTGGGACTTAGGACGATGTAGAAATATTCTGTCATCTGGCCCTATCCTGTTAACCTTTGTTTCGTCAGTTCACAATACACTCTAAAAATTTAAACTTTTGATTGTAAAATTTAAATATTGATGAGTTTAGGCGAAGATCAGTTATCGTCCTTCTCTTCCGTCGGGGCGGTCACTGTAGTACCATATATATTCGTTATGTTAATTTACCTAAGATACTTACATATTGATCGATATATACAGCCGACCGGAAGTTTGAAGACCTTATATTAAGTATATGGGAGATGGTGGTAGTATTGCTCCGTGTTTATCAATTTTTGGGAATACTACATATAATTAACAGAAAACGGTGTTATCTTAGTTTCAATAAGGTGCTTCACTTACTATCATCACTATACTACCTGTATAAGGAGTAAAGTCAACCTTATGTTGGAAAATCCTGATATTAGTTAAATAGGGCTAGTACATGTTTTCACCCGATTATATTCACTTTGTGCACAAAGAGGCACTTTTAGTAGTGTTTAACAAAACCGGTTCCGATTTCACCCATTTTCGTAGTTCTAACAGATTTTCCCATGAGATACTTCTCATTGCCGCGATCCATTGTACTTGTAACTTAATTTTCGGCTTGGTTATAGCAGGCTTTATATCGAATATATAATATAAGGTAAAGTAACTTTTAAAATAAATTTGCGTGGGAATATGTTGTGAGTAATATCAGTTGTTAACTCGGCTATAATCGCGTRAGCGGTGTCTACGCCAATTAACAACAACAAAAACAACAATACCAAAAGTCCAGATCTTCTTCGAGCCCCTAATCTATATTTTCATGTCAATAAATTAGATAAATTTTAAAAAAATATTTCGCACACCAAGAAAAGTATAGTAATGAATATAAGTATGTCTATACCTATGCATATAAAACATATATAAGTGAATAAGATACGAAATTCAAAGATATTAATTCCTAAATATTTCCCCGCCAAAAAACGAAAGTAAAAAATGGTAGGTTACAGCCGAACTTAACTCTTTCTTATATGTTTTCTTTCAATAACTTTCGGAACTGGCAGATCATTTATAACTAGAAAAAGTACTGAGAACGCCTGGTGCAGCCTTTAACTATAATTTTTAAGTAAAGTATTACATTTATAAATGCACATATAGTAATTCAAAGAGTTCAAAAACATAACAACATGTTGTAATAACCCTAAGTGTATATGTATAACGTTTTTATATATATACGTAAATATTAGTATGCAATAAAACAGATGCATCTGTATAGAGTATACAATATATATATGAAAGTTTATGACAGGCATACATATATACTTTCATTAGCTTCATTTGCTATATTTATGGCCGAGATTCTCTTGCTATTTGTGGGGTGCCTCTTCATCTCTATTTATCTATATTTTTAAGTGTTGTCTGATGCGGAATTTGAACTTACAACTTACAAAGTCATAAGCACACACTAAATTACAGCGAACGCTGTATGTTTTTATATTTACAAACAATAAGAGAGTCTTTGGTAAAAGCTGAAGTCTTCGTTTGTTGTGCTTGCCCATCTTTCGGTGCCGCCTTCCACATAAACATCAGCTAAAATAAGAAGTAACCGTCGTCCATGTCTCTTTCTTCACAATAGTGAGGT